GCTCATTTAAATCAGACTATTTATTCAAGGGCTCCATCGCTTTCCATTGCTTCAATCACGTTTCCGGTTGACGTCTTGCATAATGGCCATTATTAGCTTGTTTATTGTGAAGGCTTGTGTGTGACTACAACTTCCTCTGCCTAAAACTGCAGTATCGAGTACAATACAAATTGATGGACGGTAATTTTAGCAAATTAGCTTTAATGCTACAAAAGTTGTTTATGGAAGGAAGCGAGCATAGGCTATTTTCTAAATGCTTTTAGGTTCTCTCCTTTCTGCTCTCTCATTCGGATGAGATGCTTGTTTTTCAAAATCACCCCCTGCCTGCAACTGGTGGGTTGTGTATATTTTCAGCTGGGATTTTCCCTATGGCCTGCCACAACACTGTTTCAATTTCATGTAACCCCAACAAACTATATTGCAACACTGACCTAATAGTATAAAGTGAAAACAAACAATTTCCACGATATTCAATATCATTATAATGAACATGCACAATATAAATATAATGGGCACTTCAAAAATACTGCAAATAACTATTTATTATTTAAAATTTTAGAGTCATATTTTTGTATTGTATATTTAACTTGGAAACATTTTAAATGAGCAAACACACAACTATAATATTGCATTTTTCCTTTGTAATGTTTTTAATGCATTAACTAACATTACTAATGAGACATTATTGTATTATTTGTAGTTATGGTAGATTTACCCATTGTACTTAATCATCTTTTTGCAATTTAATGTGTTTAAAACATGGGTAACTTTATATTGTGATGTTCCCTTTGACTATTAGTAGAATTTCTGCTTAGTATCTGCTTATACTGACTATAAGAAACCTTGCAAGTACAAGTCAATTTACACTAAGCCTAACCCCAACCCTATCCCCACCCTAACAGTCTACTTATAATCTAATGAGAATTAGTTGACATGAAGATACAATGTAACAAACAGACCATCAAAACAAATTGTGACCCATTTTCTGTATAATAAAAGAAAAAAAGTAGATAAAAGAAAGAGAAACAAAGAGAAACAAATAAGTTTTATTCTAAACAAAGTAAGTATCTTAGGTTTTTTGAGCCACATATTAATACAATAAAGCAATACATAAAGTTTATTTATGTTCATATTATGTCTGCTAAAGTAATCCTGTTTGCTGCTCAGGTCAATTTTGTGATAATGCTGCATATTGTGATACAAGCTTCAGCAATGAGAATATTTGATGGCAGAAGCCTATATTCCAAGAACAGTGGCTTATTGTGTGTCTTGTACTAATTTATGGTAATCAACAACATTAACACAACATAATTCAACATAATTATTTTATATTTTTATATATTTTTATTTTATTTATTATATATTTTATATATTTTTGCTTTTATCTTCTTTTGTTCTTTTTTATGCTATGTCATGTTTTTGGATGTTGTGTATTATGTTTTTTTTTTGTCTTCTGGTGTTGTTATTATGTGATTGTGATTATTTGAGGAACCCCCTTGAAAATGAGATGGTACATATCAAGGAGTTTATCCCAATGAATAAATATCAAATAATTCACACTTCTGATGCCACCTGCTTAAGGCAGTTTGGGTGGAAAAATGCATAAAGACCAAAGAACAAGACCACAGTAGCTTTCCCAATAGAAAATAGGCCCTTTTCTGTCATTTAAGCTGCGCAGCACTAAACCGTTCCAGATGTGGCTCTGCTCAGCCTGAGAGACAAGACATGAAAGCCAGTCTTCAGTCTCTTTTCACTCAGAATGCCTCTACTAAGTAAAAAAAAAAACTGTATTTGTTCTCAAACATTAGATTATGAGGTTGTAACACACTGAAATATCTGTAAATATTTATTTTTCTCCAACCCATGAGTAGCTTTTTTTTTTTTTTTTTTTTTTGTAAAACACCATTTTTCCTATTTTTTTAAATATTTATGTAGTTCGAAGTCAGATGTTTGGGAAAATATAAAGGGTCACCAAGTTTATCAATTCTTTCACGTTTTTTTTTTATTTTTATACTTTTATACTGAATTGTATCTTAACAATGTCTTGTGGTGTGACAGCAAAAATTGTTGGGACACATCTTCATATAGTGCTATTTATTATATATTATATATGAAATTAGGAATAATATTATTTTTCTCCATGACTTATTGTAACATTTTTCAACTAGCATATGTTACAATAGGGCTGTGCAAAATGATCTATATATCCGACTATCGCAATCATTTCTTTCACGATAGTGTATCGACAGTCCAACCTGAAATATCGATACAAGTTGTGCCAAACAACCTCCTCATCTGCTCCAGTAGCACTAACTTGCTATCAAAAAAGCGTAAAGTAGTACGGCATCAGAAGTAAGCATGAGTGAACATGGTGGAAAATATAAACGTGCTCAACATCAATTTTATGCACTCGCACAAATGCTCCCAAATATATTTTGAGGACGCATAGATAAAATTTATATATATATATATATATATATATATATATATATATATATATATATATATATTTTAGTTAAGTGTTTACAATATGCATTTAATAGATTTCAGTGAGTTCTCCATTAAATCACACTGTGCAGTTCTAAGGAATTGAAATGGATAGAAATAAATTAGAATTATAGTTTTAATTCATCTGCTGACTTTATGAAGTTCTCAATATAACATGATATAACATAATAATACAAACTATTGCAATATATCACAATATTTATTCTATTGCAATATACCGTGATATATTGTATCGTGACCCATGTATCATGTTATGTATCACATCGTGAGGCCTTTGCCAATACACAGCCCTATGTAACAACAAAACAAAGATAAATTCTGAGACAAAAAATTAACAGGTAAAAGTAAAGATATTTGAGATATTTAACCATTCACCTCATTCAAAAAATTGACAATGCCGATTATATTCATTTTTGTCATGTGTGACAGTGAAAATGCAATGTCACGTCAACCCCCAATACTGTTCCTCAGTATGTGCTTCACAGAATGGCACATGACTGCTGAGTTTTTGAGCCACAGTATCACGCAGGTCAGCTTTCTGTGAGAGTAAGTGCAAAATAACTTTACCAGGCATGGCTGTTTGAACACAAGATTGAGCACTGTCACATCAATCACGGCAAGTGTGTACACGTGAATCAGATTAATACATTTCTAAGCCTATTCTTACAGAGTCAGGGGAGTCATAACAACACCTAGGGTGCAAAGTATAAACCACACATGGTGAGATGTTAATAGCTTCCACATTCAGGTGTGTGTTGATACACCTTCCAGTGTACTGTAGTTTGTGTGCTGCTGTTGGCTTAATGGCAGCTTTATGGTTTCTATTTCATTACCATTCTCTCTGAAAGGCATAGAAACATCATTTTGCAGACATTTTTTCTTCTTCTGCACAGTGCCAAGCTGATTGGCTTTGCACATGCTGCCCTGTCACAGAGACGATCAGCAGACTGATTTAAACCAGAGTGTGTGTAAGTGTGTGTGTGTGTGTGTGTGTGTGTGCGTGATGGCTTTCCATTCTTCTCACTCTGGCCTCATTTGTTTCTGCTTATTTTCCACAGCCATGCACAGCTTAGAGCAGAACAATAGGCTTTTTGTGCTTTGCTAGAACTGTGGATGTACAGCTCAACCCATTTATAATGTGCTACATTTAATCAGCAAGTTCTGATAAAAGAGAACTGTGGAATTGAGGGAGTGAAGCACAGACAAGTAGCAAATCTAGGCTGAAACGATGCTTAATGAATTTTTATCACATATTATTACGCAAGCTAGTAGGAAATTATGTATTTGCAGGTTTCATGAGTTATCTCATGTGCCAAAAGTATTGTATTTACCAAAGGCAAAACATCACTAGGCATTGAGTTGCCTTGCTTGTTCAGACTCATAGTGACACTTTTTTGACATGTTTATGGATATATGTGTGGACATCCCTCGATGAGACAAAATCGCAAGATTCCACAATTCCACAAGATAAAAGTGGAAATAATAGTTATCATTTTCACTTAAAACCAGATCAATGTGTCTTTTAAAGACTAAACAAATGCTGCTGTAAGCAAAATAATGTTCCTGCAGTTTACATTATGTTATGTTATGTAATGTAATTGTTTTGCATGTCCATTTGTAAGCTAGTGTCAGATATTGTAAATCATGTGTATTTTGTAAAGTTAACACCACATTACAGCTCATTAGAGCTTTAGTAGAGACTGCTGGCTTAATATTAGAGCTAATAAAATGAATAGGCATACATGTGGTTGTAAAGTTGCTTAGTTGAAGAATGTCTGTTTGAGGACCATCAAAATAAAAGCAAAGCAGACAGTTTACTGATCCACTAATCAAATGACTGGGAGTTGACATGGTTAAAAAGTTATTTTTAGCCAACAGAATGTCAGAACAAGCCTTATTTACTCATAATATCACCATGCACAGTATTTTAAATAAAAGATTGAAGATTGACACAGTTACACATCTAATATGAATTTTAAAAGACTAAAATCTTTTAAACTTTTTTAAAGAAAAGAATATGCATTTGTGGCATAATTATGCTAAGTATTAATGTTGTTGTTGTTTTTGTTGTTGTAGAATAAACAGTGAAAGTCAGGCACTAAATCCTGAAATCCATGACCACTAAATAAAAATCTATTTTCAAACTGATAAAAAGTTATTTAATTTTATTTGGGAAAATGGTATTCATTATATAAAAAACAGTAGTTATGAATAACTTTGAGAATGGTGGTCTTAACAAGCTGGATAAGGGTTATAGGGTTTTGTACATTTAATAATACTGTCAAAATTAAATTGGGCATTATGCTAAGTATTTGTTGTTGTTGTTGTTGTTGTTGTTGTAGAATAAACAGTGAAAGTCAGGCACTGAATCCTAAAAACCATAACCCCAAAATGAAATACTCTTTTCTTTTTAGGATTAAAAAAAATAGATATCATTATAGACACTGCTGTTAACTCTTTTTTTCTCTCAAATGAATTAGCTTGTTTCTTACCATTGGCGTTCTTCCCGCAGATGAGATGCTCGTAGTTTTGCACCAGACCAAATATCTCCGCGTCGTTGCAGACCACAGCTTCGAGCGCTTCAGCCGTCACTGGATAGCTGTTGGTCCCATTTTGCGCTGCCAGCAGCACACGGAGCCCAATTTCCTGTACCAGATTTTCAATGCAAGCGGTCAAACAGATGGCTGCGTACTCGTGAACGCGCACTGAGATGCGAGTGTCCACCATCCAGCGGAAAAAGCGCCCGACAGACAAGCTCAGCGCGCAGCGGGAAGACTTGCTCTTGCGCAGGACCTCTCCAGCGCTCATACTGTACAGTGAGATGGCCCTAATCGCGGCCGAGACGCAGCTTTCCGCCAAAGCCCAGCTCATGACCAGCTTCATCGCGCTCTGCACCTCGAACCGCGTGCACCTGCAATGAACCACACTCAACCGCTGCGCCTCTCTGGAGATCCGCAGTAAAGCTCTGCGCATTAGCACCGAAACACTCCTGACGCTCTCCGGAGCGAAACACAGACCCTCTCCAGCAACTTTACGCAGGACCACATCGATCTCCTCGTCTGTCCAGGGGAACTCCTCTAATTCTGGTAGTCTCGGGCATTTGGAGATGATGTCCTCAGGGTCTTCAGGAAGCACCGTGTTGACCGTGTCCCAGCTGTTGTTTCTGCTGTTCATGGAGCCCGTGTAGCTCCACCAGTTGCCCCGCTGTGGAGAGCTGACCAGCGCCTGAGAGTTGGATTTGGAGGAGGACAGGCTGAGGGACCTGTACGAGTCGCCGGCTCCATATCCAGAGTCTAGAGTCAAATCCTCCAAAGTCTTCATAGTAGAATTGCTCACAGCTGCCATGTCTATTAGTAGAATCAGAATGACTTATTTCACGTTTTCCAAATATTATTATTTTAGTAAACATGGAGCGCAAAAAAAAAAAATGTTTTAATTCAACGCACGTCCATCGCTTGTTTGTGAGTACAGTCTGTCCGCAATGGCAACCCAGCGCCGTATAAAGCCCAGCTGGTCATTGAAACTTTTAACAGCAAAAACTTTGAACCAATCAGAGGACAGTGTTCGCTCAGCCAATCAGACACACTCAGCGCTCGCGCAGTGCAAGAGCAAGAGCGCAGGAAAGTGAGGACAGATAAAGGTTTGAGGCTTTAAATGAGTTTGCTTTGAATTTCAAACACAACACAGCACTGATGTACACATTAACTATTTTATTTGATTTTTAATAATGTGTTTGTTAAAAGAAATGTACTAGTTAGTCTAAACTGGTCTAGCAGAGAGTATATCAGTTTTTAAATAACACAATATAACTACTTTTGCAGGGGAAAAAAGAAAAGTCTGCGATTTGCCTGTTGTGTGTAATTATGTATTATTTAAAGTTTATCTTAAATGTAAACTTAAAATGTAACCTAAACACAATCTAATTTATTAATATTGCTTCTAAAATGTAATAATTTATTCAATTGAATAATTTAATAACTTCATTATAAACAAAGTATAATAAAGCTATAAATGACAGAATGTGTATTGTCACTCGAATTGTCTAATTGACATCATTATTAAAAATTCCAACTGGTATTGAGTAAATAGGCAAGTAAAAGTTATCGATTCTTATTAACAAACTGACACTACTAACAGTATAGAGATATAATAAAATATTCATACAATTAAATACGAGCCCATACAGACTCTATATGAACGAGAAGACTATATTCACGAGAAGAGCAATAAATATTAAGGCTGATTCTAAACATCCTCTTTTCAGTGAATATCAGCAGTTACCATCAGAAAAAAGACTGAGAATCCCAATGTGTAAGACCAATAGACTAAAGCTTTCGTTTGTTCCTACCTCGAAAAAAGTTTATTAGCACCTGACTGTGTTCTGTAATTTATTTATTTCATATTTATATTTTATATACGATCTTATTTTGTTAACAATTTATGTACTTATTGTTTGTTGTTAACTGTTTGGTTTGTTTTATTCATTTTATTGTCTGCTCAGAGCAACATTGTAGAACTTTTTAGCGCAAGACAAATTTCCTCATCGGGACAAATAAAGTTTATCCTATCCTATCCTATCCTATCCTATCCTATCCTATCCTATCCTATCCTGTCCTATCCTATCCTATCCATATCTGTTAGATGTACTTGCATGCCCTCCTGTGGTGGTTTTAATTAATGTAAAGGTTTTGCTGAAACAAGAGACTTGTTTAATGATCATATTTAATTTATTCTTTAAAATAAGAAATTTGAACAGCGGAAAAAGTACACACCTAACTCCTCTACAAACAATTTCACAGAAATTATCCCTTCATCAAAACTTGTCTGGATTACTGTATGATGTCTAGCACCCTTTATCATGAGTTAAATAGATAACCTCCACTATTTCAACCACTCGGTAAGTTTGAAATAAAGAGACAAACTGCAGAATATTGGACATCTCTCTCTCTCCACATATTTAACATTGGAAAAGCAGCATTCACAAATGTCTTTTGCGTCAGTTGTCCACTATTAGCTCCTGATGTCCATATTTTACCCATCAAGTAAACGGTGAATGTACTTTTGGTATATCCTGTCCGTCTACCTCCAGAGCTCATGTCAAGCACAGTGAGGCAGGTCCATGTTCCCCTGTAAAGAGTGTGTCGCTTGGGGCACAAATGACCAACACACACAAAGTAGGCCAGAAACAGCAGCAGGCTCCTCTGTGCTATTCTTTTATCCTTGAGATGCTCTTTTCACAGGAACGTTCCACATGCCCCGCTTGGAGTGGAAATAGTGGTAAAAGTTCCTCAGTCGCAGTCTTTCTACTTCTAGACCATTCTGCAAAACCCTGAAAGAGAGAGAGAGAAAGAGAGAAAGAGATTAAAACATCTATCTATCTATCTATCTATCTATCTATCTATCTATCTATCTATCTATCTATCTATCTATCTATCTATCTATCTATCTATCTATCTATCTATCTATCTATCTATCTATCTATCTATCCATCCATCCATCCATCCATCCATCCATCCATCCATCCATCCATCCATCCATCCATCCATCCATCCATCCATCCATCCATCTATCCATCCATCCATCCATCTATCCATCTATCCATCTACTCTGTCTACTCTGTCTGTCTGTCTGTCTGTCGGTCGGTCGGTCGGTCGGTCGGTCGGTCGGTCGGTCTGTCTGTCTGTCTGTCTGTCTGTCTGTCGGTCGGTCGGTCGGTCTGTCTGTCTGTCTGTCTGTCTGACTGGGCACATTAAGAATAAAAAAACAAACAAATAAATAACATATTAAAAAATGATAACGATAAAACTTTTAAATGTAAAATATGAAATAAGAAATTAAATGATAAATTATTAAAGTGAGTTCATTAAAAATGGATTAAACTAATGAACAAAATAATAGAAAAGTAGAAATTATAAAATGTTTCTGAAACTAAATATTTCCCTAACAATATTTTAGACCAATATAATAAAAGTAACGTTTACACGGCTCAAAATAGAAATTTATGGAGGAAACTATAGATGTTTTTTTTTTACATTTTAGGGACATACAAGCAAGATAATATTTCAGCATCCATGACATTAACAATATTGAAAACCACAGCATTTATCAATCTCAGTCAATTATGTTTTAAAAGTTTTTTTAATAAAACTTGAATGAACTTCACAGTTGTATCCATTATTATCTTATTATCTTGTATCCATTATCACCTGTGATGACCCGAACTAACAGAGTAAACATAAACTAATGAACACAGTTACCTGTCTAGAAGCTCCCAGTCTTCTCCTCCCCAGTGGTCTTTAAACTCCTCTGTGTTCATCCCACCAATTTTATCAAAATCGGATTTATAAATTCCGAACAAGCCAAAGCCATTTACTTCCCAAAAGCCTGTGAGTAAATCAGAAATATCAGGTAAATGCATACCGACTGTGGCCATCACTAGTCTGTGAAAGAAACATTCAAACTAAATTTGTATTTGTATATATGCTGCTGTATGCTGTAAGTGTTTGGAGGAGTATGGTGTTTGCAGTGGGTAGAGTTTTCGCCTCACAGTAAAAAGGTCAGTTGGCATTTCTGTGTTTGCATGTTCTCCGGTGTTGGCATGGGTTTTCTTTGTGTGCTCTGGTTTCCCCTACAAGTCCAAAGACATGCGCTATAGGTGAAATGGGTAAGCTAAATTGTCCGTAGTGTATGTGTGTGTGTCCTGGTCCTCCAGGTTGGGGGTTGAGCGTTGGGCTAACAATCCACCTCATAAAAATTAGATGTATATCAACTTCGAAATAAACAACCCTGGGAGTAAGTAAGTAAGTAAGTAAGTAAGTAAGTAAGTAAGTGTTTATTGCTTATCATCAATAGATAATGTATGTTTTACCATCAGGCTCCAGAGGCGAGCTCCCACAGTCCAGTCTCATGACGATGGGTGCAAAGGCCAGTCTGCCCTCAACACAGTGCTTCCTGATGCTCTCCAGGATGTTGTGAGGGAAGTGAATGTGCAGGTCACACAGGAACACTATGCTGTGACTGTCCTGAAATCCCATGGAAGATGTTTTATACTAGTATTTTAGTAATGAACAAAGAAATACATATTGTAGACCACAAATCACTTTACAGTTCACAGTTACAGCATCAGCATGTTTCAAATAGTACAAACAATGTAAAGAAAAAACTTACTTCCTGACAACATAAAAAAAAACATTTTATAACATTGCGAGTTCTTGTTAGTGTGTTTAAATAAATAAATAGCATTATGAGCTATAAGGTCATTGTAAGCTGTCAAGTCCAATCAGTCAATTCAAATGAAGGTGTAGAACCATCCCATGGATGATCAGAAGTAACGGACAGCACCTGAATTACATTAGTGTCATACAGCAAAGGGTCTGACCATGTGATATTTCAGTTTTTCTTTTTTTTTTTTTATAAATCTGCAAAAATGTCAACAATTTCGTGTTTTTCTGTCAATATGGGGTGCTTTGTGTACATTAATAAAGAAAAATGAACATAAATGATTTTAGCAAATGGCACTATAACAAAAAGTGACAAATTTTAGAGGGCCTGAACACTTTCCCACAGTCTATACATTGAGGTAAATTATGATTTATTGTAATTAATTAAGTATTAAGTTAGGCTGATGGTGTGAGTAGAGCTTTTGTTTTTACTTCTTTTCAGATGGGTTTAAGTTAATGGGCCCTATCATAAATAAGGCGCAAGATGTGTTTCTATGACGCGTTGCTATTTTCAAACCAGTGCAAGACTAATTTTCCCGTTTTATGCTACGTTGTTTAAATAGCAAATCCATTTGCGCCACTTTGTGGACTCATGCATGTTTCGGTCTATAAGAGGCATGTTAAGGCGTATTGTTGGTGCTTTGGTATTTTGAAGAACTAAAATAGACTGTGCAATAGACCAGCAGTAGGGTGGGGGGACTTTTTCAGTTAGAGTCACTCGCTGTCTTCAAAAAGCAACTAAAAACTCAACTATTTAGTCTCCACTTTTCTTATTAATATGCAACTACCTCTCTGACTCCTTAACTAAGTACAAAAAAAAATTACTAATGCTTTCCTTCTTAGACTTTACACACCTGAAACTCACCTACAGCACTTATTCATTGTTGCTCTTATAGTTGTGTAAATTGCTTCCTTGTCCTCATTTGTAAGTCGCTTTGGATAAAAGCGTCTGCTAAATGACTAAATGTAAATGTAAATGTAAAATTCATGACAATTTGTTTTTGTATAATGTTATTATTATTATTATTATTAGTATTTATTATATGCATATTTATATTTGTTTTATTACAAAGAAGCTTAGATCTGTCCACCGGTCAGGTTTTAGACCATATGGGGCATACCATGTGTATTAGGAAAAAACAATTACACATGCTTAAAATGTTTTTTTTTTTTTTTTTTTTAACACACTTCGTTATTATTGTTCATTTATTTGTTTGCTGGAAATTAGAACTGAATTTAGAAATAGTTTTGAAACAAATCTTTGCGCTTAACAAACAAAATTAATTATAATGAATGTCTGTGTGCACAACACGTTTCCTTATCAACGAAAAAGAGTGAAAGTGAAAGTAAAGAATGAGGAGGCTCATCTCTCATTCTCACACAGTAGATGTTCTGTTTAGTTTTCTTACTAGTGAAGCGTTCAGTTTTTCCACTTATAAAAGTCTGCCATGTAAATAGCAAATCTTTCATTTCGTGATGCAACTGACTCTTGAAGGAAATGGGAGATGAGACTCTGATTGGTCTATTCTCAAAACAAACCTATAACTCATTAAGAGAATAAATTCAACACTGCTAGACCATTTGCCGTGGCGCAAATAGGATTTTTCTGTCCTTAAAATAGCAAGAGTGGATTCTGACACGCCCTTAATGCTTTTGTGCCCT